CTATTCCAGTATATTTTAAAATTAAATTTCTTCCTGTGATCAAAACTGAATTTTGAGCATCATTCCTCCAGTCTTCAGTGTCACGTGATCCTTCAGAAATCATTCTAATATGCTGATTTGCTGCTCAGGAAATATTTCTGATTATTGTCAATGTTGAAAGCAGTCGCACTGCTTCACATTTTTGTGAAAACTGTGATACATTTTATTTTTCACAATTCTATGATGAGTACAAAGTTCAAAAGAACAGCGTTTATTTGAAACAGAAATCATTTGTAACATTATAAATGTCTTTACTGTCACTTTTGATCAATTTAATGTGTCTTTACTAAATAAAACTATTAATTTCTTTCAAAAAACGGTTGTGTATGACCTTAAAAGACTTGGAATATTACGCATAAGCTGTATAGACTATATGTTTATAGTGCTTTATGTCTGAAAAATGAGTAAATGAGTTTTCATTTTTGCTGAACTCTCCCTTTAAAACAACAAAACAGGCATTAATAAACACAGCAATGTGGGAATGTGGATCAAAATGTGTTTTGAAATTACCTGCAGGAAGAGAAAAATGGCATCTATGGAGCAGGCGAATAACAGGAACTACTAAAAATACAAGCATTCAGTGTCCAAAGCCATGTCTAAAAATGGACTAGCATAGGCAATCAAGTCCTGTGATTTTCTGAGCCATCAAGGAAGTGCATTGGATCAAGAGTGAAAATGTTTGTTGTGTTTTTCTGTGTGAACTATTTCTATTTGACATCATTACATCAAACCCAAAAACCCCATGTTTGTAGAGCAAAGAACACACACATTTGGGTCATTTAGCTTGAAACTACTTAGATGGACGTTCATGCAATGATTGCCGGATGTGGGCTAGATTTCATCAGTCTTATCTAAAACTGACCATTTTCAGTAATGAGGCGATGTTTACATGCAAGAACACACACATAAAAGCCGCTGACAGAGGTCAGTCGGGATGACTAATCAGAACACCCTAAACTCAAGACATAAATGAGAAGAGTTCAGTAACTACTGGGCTTTTTTGTTGTTCATACTAGTGAAAGTCACTGATCAGCAGGTGTCTGGGGGTTTAACAGTAGTTTAGGTGAAATGCAGGGGACGGATGGCAAATTGTCTCACTACTGTCTCGTTACGACTCTTTTGTCAAGTAAAATCTAATAATGTGCAACATGCCGAGCTACAGGAAAAGGCACAATACTATACTATATAAGACAATATAGCACATTTTTCTTCTATAAACAGACACACAATCCTAAGATTAAAATAACTAGTGTTAAGGTAACTACTATAGTTAAAGGGGTCCTATTATGCTCTTTTACAAAGTCTTGATTTTGTTTTGGGAGTGTACTAGAACAGGCTCTCATACTAGGTTGTTCGAAAAACACATTATTTTTCAGGAAGCAGGAATAACACTGTCCAACAGCGACACCCGCCTATAACACTCGTTGCCTTTTCTAGACCAGGTCTCGTCCCATTCGTCGGTATTTGTGATATCATAAATCCTGGAAAATATGCGTTGTAGTCCAAACGAGTCGTTCGTTGTAGTTTTTGAAAAGTGATTTCTGTTAAATAAAATATCTCCTTTTGAAGTGGACTTTGAGCTTTGTAACTTTGCAGATCTTTTTTATGCTCAAACAGCAACATTACAGACTAACTAAAGTTGAAAAAGTGAAAAAGCATACTAGCACCCCTTTAACCAAGTTACATGTTGCTGACTTCAGTTATAGCCATGATAAGCTTCTGAAACAGTATTAGTTACACTACAGATTTTAACACAAAATAGCTCACTACAACACTACAGAGCAGTATCTTTATAATTATATAACTATCAGATGGTATCATTTATTTTTTAAAATCAGATAAGTATTTTTAACTGACCTAAACAATAAGGATACAAATTAAGGTGAATTTGCACTAAATAAATAATAATTTTAACCTAATTTATGATACATTGCCATTCAGAAGTTTGGGGTCAGTAAGACTTTTTCTGTTTTTTGAAATAAATGAATACTTTTAATAAAAATTTTATTTTTTTAAATTTTTTTTTACAAAAATATGAAGCAGCTCAACTGTTTTCAACATACAATCAGATAATAATCAGAAATTATTCTTGAGCAGCAAATCAGCATATTAGAACGATTTCTGAAGGTCCATGTGACGCTGAAGACTGGGGTAATGATGCTGAAAATTCAACTTTGCATCACAGGAATAAATTACATTTTAAAATATATTCACATAGAAAGCAGTTCTTTTAAATTGTAATAATATTTCAGAATATTACTGATTTTACTGGATTTTTCATCAAATAAACACAACCTTGGTAAGCAGAAGAGATTTCTTTCAAAAACATTTTAAAAATCTTACCAACCCCAAACTTTTAAATGTTAGTGGGTATAAAATGTATGCACCTAAACAATGCTTCAAAGCTTCACATTTGTGTTTTTTTTTTGTTTTGTTTTTTAAATGGAGGTATGAGTAATAAAGTAATAATGAAACTGAAAGTTTTTGAAGACTGGAGTAATGATGCTGAAAATTCAACTTTGCATCACAGGAATAAATTACATTTTTAAATATATTCACATAGAAAGCAGTTCTTTTAAATTGTAATAATATTTCAGAATATTACAGATTTTACTGGATTTTTCATCAAATAAACACAACCTTGGTAAGCAAGCAAAAACATTTTAAAAATCTTACCAACCCCAAACTTTTGAATGTTAGTGTGTATAAAATGTATGCACCTAAACAATGCTTCAAAGCTTCACATTTGTGTGTTTTTTTTTTTAAATGGAGGTATGAGTAATAAAGTAATAATGAAACTGAAAGTTTTAAGTTAAACAGAGGCGGAGTATGATTCTAACACTGGCAAAATAAACCTCCACCATTTGCGATCATTAACATAACTGTGTTAAAAACAGCAGCAGAAATGCTGAACAAGCTCCAGTGCTCATGTTGATCTGTGCAAGCTTCCTGTGGGACTACAGATAACGTCCCAAAGAAGTGGAGCCAGATACACGCCACATAATCACCGTCCCACTTAACCTGCGGAGCACATCAGCAGGAAGACGCGGAGCGTGCAGGTCGACACACACCTGACCCCGCTTCAGACACAATCCAGCGGGTGTGTGATTCTCTGTGTGTTAAAGGGAAACATCTGCAGACTTCACAAGGAGAACACTATTGTCCATGAAGAACTGCTCACTAAAGCACATACAGTGCATGGCCAACGTGTCTTTTTCTATACTTGTGTCCATGCCAGACTGCCAGGAAAGTCACAATGCATGAATGCATGCACACACCCCACCCTACAGTAACACACCGTCTGATCACCAAACACTCAATGCACCAGTCAAATGTGTGTTTATCATTATCCTAAAAAGCACAAAGCTGGAATAAACACCAAAGATGATCAAATATAACATCTGTTGTTAGTTTTGTGGCTTGTTGTCAACTAGTCATAGGTCAAATGATCAGTTGTGCTTGTTCTAGACAGAGAGAGTCAGATCCTCACCCTTCTCTTGAGACGGTCTCGCTCTCTCAGCGTGAGCGTGTCGGCTTTGGCAATCACAGGAACGATGTTGACTTTGCTGTGGATCGCCTTCATAAACTCAACATCCAGAGGCTTCAGGCTGGGAAAAACCAAGCACACAGAAGCACAAATCACATACGTTTGGGGTCAGTAAAATTTGAAAGATATTAAGAAAGGATGCATTAAATTGAACATAAATGAAAGTAAAGACATTTATAAGGTTACAAAAGATTTCTATATCAAATAAATGCTGTTCTTTTAATAAAAATAAAGATGTGAATTAGGACGACTTTGCTCTAACTACACCAAAAAAAACAAACTATGAAACAATTTATGTACACCAAAAGTTTGGGGTCAGTAAGGCTTTTTTTTTTTTTTAAAGAAATTTATATTTTAATTTGTCAAGGATGCATCAAATTGTTCAAAAGTGTCAGTAAAGACATTTATAATGTCACAAAAGATTTCAATTTCAATAGTTCGGTTCTTTTTAACTTTTTATTCATCAAAGAATCCTGAAAAAAATATATCATAAAAAAAATGTACAATGAAAATACAGGTACTGTATCGGTTTCGGGTAAGTACCAAAAACAAAAGTCTCTGTATCGGACTCGTTCTGGAAAAGTGGTATCGGTGCATCCCTATTTAATTCCTATTTCAAATAAATGCTGTTCTTTTTAACTTTTTTTTTATCAAAGAATGCTGAAAATAAAATGCATCACAGTTTCCACAACAATATGAAGCCACACAACAGTCTTCAACATTGATAATAATCAGAAATGTTTCTCGAGCAGCAAATCAGCATATTAGAATGATTTCTGAAGGATCATGTGACACTGAAGATTGGAGTAATGATGCTGAAAATTCAACTTTGATCACAGGAATAAATTACATTTTAAAATATATTCAAATAGAAAATAGTGATTTAAATTGTACTAATATTTCACAATATTGGTGATTTTACACCATTTTTAATCAAATAAATGCAACCCTGGTGAGCAGACGAGACTTCTTTGAAAAACATTTAAAATTTCTGATGCACAATTCACATCACTTTTGAACTTAAACTTTAAAGTGCAAAGATTTGGTGTAAGTTCCACCAGTGCTTTTTGTTAGTGATTCATGTTGCTTTAATGCATCACTTCTGCTGCAAACAGACCTTAATTGAAGGCTAAAGCCACTTTCTGCATGAATAATGTTTTATTGACTTATGACGAAAGGCATAACATGTGCAGGAGTTTTACCCGTGTCCAAACGGAGAGATGAAGTAAAAGCAGCAGTGCACTCTGTTGTCAACGATGTGTCTGCGGTTCAGGCCGCTCTCGTCGTGCAGGTATCGCTCAAACTGATTATCAATATACTGGATGATCGTCTTAAAGCTGTCGAACACAATAAAGCAGAGATCAGAGAACGAGCTGAAAGGAAATACTCAGACATAAAAGCTTGTGATTGTATTAAACTAACGCATTAAACAAGCATCGGATACGGATCTCAGCTGAACAAAACCATAATCTAATCATGAGATATCAGGATGCACTTTAGAAACAAACAAACAAACAACCACTTTGTCCAAATAAAGCTTATCAAAATGTTCCACAACATCATGCTTACTGGTTCCTGTCCAGTATAGACAGACCACATGCACCAGTGTTAACTTATTATCATTGAGATCTTATTATAGATTTGAATAATATTTCAAATTAGTTTTTATATTCATATTTTCTTTTTTTTATTTTAGATTTAAGTAAACGTTAGTAGTTTAGTTATGTTTTTGTTATTTCTATTATTTTTTAAACATATTTATACAGTTTTTGATCAGGTTTAGTTTTTTAGTACATCAGGTTAAATAACAAAAAATCTGAAAGTTGTTGAAAATGTTTGTTTCAGTTAACACTTAATTTATTTCAAGAAAAAAAAGAAGAACTGTTCCCTTGGCTAGTTGAATTTTTTTATATATTTTTATATATTTTATAAGATTTTATATTTTGTTTGTTACCATTTTTTATTTCAAGTAAAATGTGTTTTTTATGGTTTTAATTAAACAAATGGCTGCAATATAACAAAGAGTGAAAAATTTAAGGGGGTCTGAATACTTTCCGTACCCACTGTACATATATTATGTAAACAAAAACTTTTATTTTGGATGCGATTAATCGTGATTAATCGTTTGACAGCACTAGTTAAAACTAAAAAAAAATGTTATCAATTGTTTTGTTTCACTTAACTTTTTCCCAAGTAAAAATTATGTTTTTATGCTTTTATTTTAAGGTTTAGTTAACTACAATGACCCTGATATGCACCAACTCTCAGTTCTCTAAAGTCTCGCCACCAGCTTCCCTTTTGCTCTAAAGTCTCCAGACTTATCTAAACATCACACGCTAAACTAAACTTAACCCCCTAACCAGAACTAAAGCACTTCTGTGTCTTCTGATAAACGTCATGCACGAATCGGCCTTGACACCGCAGCCTTATCGAGAGGCTGAAGTAGAAGACGACGTGATATGACAGTAGGTAGGTAACGTGGATGGCACATTTTCATTATCAGCCTGAGAAGTCTGTGGGTGAGAGATGGGGAGGATATTGTTCTTTCAAACAGGATATTCCCAGCATTCCTTAGCAAGGCTCAATGACCAATAGAGCAACAAGAGACAACAGCTGCCTCCAGTCTACAGTCAAGTGCCATAATGTAAATAATCTCTGCTCTGCAGATACAATACAACACAAAACATGGGGTATTCAATTAATAATCAGTCCGGTCTTCCATTAAAGAGGTCATAGTTATACGCAAGGTATAATTTTATGGTAGATATCTGTAATAATAAACAGCTAGTATCTAAGGGAAATTTTGATGCAGAACAACAGCAGCACCAATGCAAGTGCATTTAATTAAGAGTAAACACACATTATGTAAAAAAAAAAAGTAGGGATGTGTCAAGATCTACTGCTTATTTTAAGCAACAGTTCATTAATAAGCATGCTGTGATTTGGCTGTTGGATGACAAAAAACATAATATCTCTAAATGCATCAACTTTAAAGCAACATCCAGACGTATCGAGATGGATGATGCATCCAAATTATTTTGAGTTTTTTTGAGAACTCTGCCATGAGCATTGCATTTCTAAGATGCATCAGTCACATTAAAATAGTCAAAATTGTAAAATTGCATGACAAGATGCCTAAATCTGTGGTTCATCTAGCATTTTTTAAATGCACAAAAGGCAAACAAAATAAGAAATGCTGTTCTGCATTAAACTGTGAGTGAAGAAAATGATCCACTCATATGTACACAAGCATTTGGAGACTTAAGACACTTAAAAATGTCTTAATTTCAATGCATTAGACAAAATATCACAGAGCAAGTGACATTTCAAAATAACAAAATGTTTTTCTTTAAAAGTGCAGGTGCTTGTCCAGTCCTGTACAAGAGAGTAATGAAAAGAAACAAAATGTCATTTGGACTAATGCAATAATGCAACACAGAAACACTGTAAATGCCACTAAATTTTTAGCAAATGTAAGCATATCCTGTTTTGAACTGCAACAGCATGTATTTACAGCAGGTATACCCTGCTTTGCAAATATCCAGTCATTATCTACCACCAATAATTTACAGGGAAAATGAAAATGCATGGGACAGCTGACATAATCATAAAGAACGTCAAATTTGGAAATAAATATATGGCTCAGAAGACAGAAATTTCACCTTCCACACCCCGTTGACATTGATTAGTATGTACCAAAACATTTCTGACCTCATGAACATACCAGAAATTAATATTGTTTTTATATTTAAAAAAGCTAATTACAATGACTAACCCTACCGTACCACTTTTAGAATTAGAAAATAATAATAAACACATTTTAAATAAATGAAAAATAATATTTGAAGTATGATTCATTCTTTTAATTGAAGATGTCTCCAGATGTCTCTAAAGGGAGGTTTGGTCTGATTTAGCTCACACTGACCAGTCCTGGCTGTTGATGGCGTCTCCGTATCCAGGCGTGTCCACCACAGTGAGGCGGAGCTTCACTCCCCTCTCCTCGATTTCCACCGTGGACGCTTCAATCTGGACCGTGCGCTCGATCTTCTCTGCAAGTACAAAAACATCCTATCAGAACAAAAACACGCAAGTTCACAGAAAAAAAGAGGAACAGTTGAGGAAGAGCATCACGACAAATCAAATTAAAAATACTAATGATTTATCGATGCACCGTGAAAAAGATTAATGAGCATTTTCTGAGAACCTTTGGGAGGAGGCCCTGGGCTACAGATGGGATTACTTTGTTAAAAACAACCTTCTACTCTAGAGAGCTTTCATAGTCAAAGTGCTCAACAGAGGCATTTAAAGGGATTTTACATGCATTGAGCATCTAAATCAGAAATGTTCTGCATTCCAGCGGGAGCAGCATCATGCTGAAGACAATATTACTTTACGCAAAAAAGCATTTGGACACTTTAAAAATTTCTTCATTTATTGCATTAGACGAAATATGCAATAAATATAATATATTATGGAAATATTACTTTACGCAAAAAAGCATTTGGACACTTAAGGCACTCTTAAAAAATGTCTTACTTTACTGCATTAGGCAAAATATGCAATATATTATATTATATATTAGTATAATATAACATTTAGATCATAACAGACCTCTATTTGTGAAATGTTTTATTGAAAAGTGTTTGTGCTTGTCTGTTTTTACAATTACAGGGCTTCCGTATGGTTTTATAAAGGTAAACTTAAAGGAGTCATAGGATGCCCATTTTCCACAAGTTGATATGATTCTTTGGGGTCTTAATGAAAAGTGTGTAACATAGTTTGGTTAAAATTTCTCAATGGTAGTGTAAAAAAACACCTTTTTTACCCTGTCAAAAACAGCTCTTTTCAGAGCACGCAGTTTTGTAGCATTTTCCTTTAAATGTTAATGAGCTCTGCTGCCCCCGCCCCTCTTCCGAGCCGCTCTCAGAGAGACTGTTTACTTTAGCCGCATTCATCGTGAAACTTGCTAATTAGCACATTATTAGGAAAGGCGATTTGCAAAGATTCGTTACAAAACATTATACTCGCTTCTTCTGTAGATGAGGCTGGATCACGAATGATTCGCACGAACATAGACGCATTTATGTAGATCGCGGGCACATTCCCTTCTGAAACAAATGTAATCCACTGCCAGTTCAGCGACAACACACATTTCAGTTCAAACAACTTGTAAAAGTGCATGTAGCATTCTATGACCCCTTTAAGACTTTTTAAGACCTTTTAAGACCATGTAAAGGAAATTTAAAGGGAAAACAAGTTTTCATACCCTACTGACAGATATTTGTTCTTATTTTAGGTATAAACGTGATGAAGTTCAGACTTTCTGGCCTGATTTAAGACTTTTTTAAAGCTTTCATTTGTGGAAGGGTGAATTACGACTTTTAAGACCTTGCAATTAAAGCATACTTTGATATTTCGTTATCTCGTGTAATGGCATTCAGACAGTTTTACGTGTGAGTGTTCACATATTTTTCGGGTCTAAATGAGGTTCATCTAAAGAGGCTT